GCCCAACTCAACACAGTAGCTGCGGGGAGAGGGGAGAAGTGACCCTCCTCCCTCTCCCCCACATCAGACCTGAGCCCACTCCTCCCGTCCCCCCTGCCCCCATCCCACGGTAGCCTGGCTTCTCCCCACCCTCAGGCCCAGTCTTCCCCCTGCATCGGGCCCTGGCCCGCTCCTTCCTTCCTTCCCCCCACTGCTGTGCCGGGGAGGGGGAGAGCAGACCCTGACCCCAAACAGCAGGAGAGAAGGGGGAGTGGGCCCAGGGCTTTGTCCCTGCCCACTCCCCCCCCTCGCCGCCCCCCGCCCAATCATTCTTGATGGGCAGTTGGCTAGTCAACTACTAACAGCGGAGACCTCAAACACCAATGAGATTTGTCTTTGTCGTCTGAGTCATGCACACACAAATTGGCATGCAAAACAAAGCCACAGGTCAGAATTTTCTTGACACTGTGGATTTCTATTTGAAATCTCTGGGTTTATTTTGTGAGTTGCATAGGTGTTTACATGCCTAACAGTGTTACCACTATGTGGCACTCTCTCACACCTGTATAAAGAACATAATGTGGTACCATGGTCGAAAATTACTGGTCTAGAGGAGTGGTTCTCAGCCTTTTTAGATTCAATGCACCCCTCCATAACTTTTGAATTGAGTGACATCCCATTTCAAAAACTAATTTATTTATGATAGTGTTTACCTGCTTGAAGATGAGCCAGGTTGGAGGAGGAGCAGCTGGTACACAGACTGTTCTTCAGTGAGTGAAGGCAGGAGGCTGGAAGAGAGAACTGGAGAGCCAGCACTTATCTCCTTTCTCCTGGCAATACCCTTCAAAGGCTGTCACAGCACCCTCACTGAGAATCATTGCTGTGTTGTGGTTTTTCTGAGTTCTTTACAACAGAAGAATTGCTGTATTGTATTTCTGTAGCCAAAATACAAGTGAAAACTAAGTTGGCATTTTCCAGGGTGTGCCTTGAGTCTAACAAGGTTGAGAACCACTGCTCTAGAGGCTCCCAAGTGGCCAAAATGGTTCTGATTTTTTTCATGACCTTTTACCACCTGTTTGCCAGTGCCCCATTTCACTTACCTGTCCAATCATATTTCTTTATACAGAAGAGGGAACTGATTCAATATTCTATTCTTCCTTGCCTGCATTTAGTGGCATGGCTTCTGGATAAATGTCTGACCCAGAAAGAACGTTTATTAGTAGTTCAATCAATCTCAACAGCAGGGAGCTTACATGTCCAAATGGAAAAGATTTCAGATGTAGTGTGAACAGCACTGTCTGTGTCCAGTGCAATCAACAATGCCTGATATATTGGACTAATTTTATCATTCAAAATTACAGGCCTCTTGCTCACTTCATTTATAGTACACTTAGCAGCTGTTAGGGTCTTCCATCAGTCTATAGACAATTCTACTATATTCTCAGAACAAGTCTCAGTCAAATTTTTAATAGGACTTGCCAACAATATTGGTCAGCACTATGGTGGGATATTGGGATGTGGACATAGGACAAATTTACCATTGATAAAAAAGGGCAGTGATTTAATTTACTGGCAGCTACCTTTTGGGTTTCTGCCAGTATGTAAGCTCTTACCCCACAGCAAATATAAGCTAAGCTGCAGTAGCTTAACCATCAATGAAAGAGGGCTGACTATGTGATAAATTCTAGCCCCTTCTTGCCCTGGAGTAAATTGTTCCTGTCTGCCTGCAGTTTAATACTCAATACTCTCATAATTCTTTACTCTCATGCTTATTTCCTTTACATCTCTTTTGAAGATGGCCTCCTTACAGTTATCAGTATCATCAAGAAGGTGGGAGAACTGGGAGCTGTGATGTCAGACTCCCTTATAAGCCATTTTTCATTACAATAAAATTTCACTAAGGTCACATCTATCCACGGCAGTACTAAAATTAGCAGTAATCAAATTATTAATTTATATTTGATTTAGGAAAGAATGCAGATTAATTGTGAGGATATGAAATTAGACATCAGAAAGAAATTTATCTGCAGAGAGAAAACCCTTAAGGTCTAAACAGACTGAGAGAATAAAAGGGGATGCAGTTTCTAGCATACTTTCAAATGCATCTCTAGCTATATTATACTTTGCTATGATTTATGCCAGATACCAGTGCTTAACAATATTAGGAGATACATTAATCAGGGTAATGTAAATTCAGTAATATAAAAATATCCCTCTTATTGACTGTATGTAAGGTAGAAGCAGGGGGTTTCATGCATACATTTTATAAAGCGTAGTGCTGTTAGTATGGGCACTTGCTCAAGACAAATGTCGTTGACCTTTTAGCAGTGATGGGTTGAGAATAGTGCAGTTTGGTCTGAAGGTGGGCCTCCACTTGTGATCTGGCCACGGCCACAGATCTTTCCAGCCCTTGCCCCCCTCCTGGCAGCCCTATCTAGCTTGGTAGGCTGGAATTAAGTCAGAGGTTGGCAACCTATCTTTATTGATATAGTTGTTTTATAATTTATACTCTGATAAGACATTAGGTGTTCACTTCCTTACTTGACAGTTCCTTAGTAGTACGCCAACTTTGGAGACAAGCATCCCAAGAAGAAAGATAAGCTACCTAGTATAACTGGAGTGTTTAAAAAAAAAAAAGTTCTATCTCTGTGTATTTTCACTAGATCTCCTCTCTTCCCCCCCACCTTTTCTGCTTTTCATTCCTTTTTGTTGTATGGCGTGCATGGTAGAACAAAAACTGGAGTGACAGTTGGTCCCACATTACTGTTTATATACTTAGTACAGTGCACAAGGATATATGAGGAACCTGTGAGGACCAAGTGGACAATCCTATCATATTTCAATTAGAACATATGCAGGGGCAAAATAGTGTTCAGTTCTCATAAAAATAAGTAACTTCTTTCTTTATTCTATCCTATCAGTTTAAGGCAGCAGTAAATTTTAGGAGTTTAGGCATGTAAGGCATTTAAATTCTTGTTTTCCAAAGCTTGCATGTAGGTGGGTGTTTAAGCTTGCAATCTGTTTTCCAGTATCTTTGGTAACAACTCAGTGCACATCTGAAATTACAGTTTTAATTTTAGACTATTGAAAGTTAGACTTGCATCTAAATCTGGTGAGACAATTAAAAAAGACTTTAGACACCTAATTTTTGTAGATTCATGGATTCGTAGATGTTAGGGGCTAGAAGGGGCCTCTTGACACCATCAGGTCCAGCCCCCCCTGTGCTTGGACAGGAAAGACTGCTGGGGTCAGATGACTCCAGCAAGGTGACTGTCCAGGTGTTTTTTGAAGATATCCAGAGTAGGTGATTGTACCACTTCTGGGGGAGTCCGTTCCAGACCCTGGACACTTGAGTTGTAATGAAGTTTTTTCTTACGTCTAATCTAAAGCAATCTTCTAGTATACATACAGGCTGGGTAGTTCCCCTCTTGAAAGCACAGAGGTGGAATGGGATCTTGGAGTCTTTATTGGCTCCAAGATGAACATTAGCCGCCCATGCCAGATGGCAGCCAGCAAGGCCAGCCATACCTTGTCATGCGTCCAAAGATGCATCTCAA